TATGGGGGGGGGGGGTAATAATTTTTATGCAAATCAATGTAAAGATGAATACAGAATTTATGGCTCAGACAGACACTATTTTATGGGGGGGGGATAGTTTAACGTTTTCACCACCAGTTTCCTCTTTTCATCACAAATTCACAAAATAATCCCATTTATAGCCTGCACTTTTCTTCAGAAGACTGGGACAAAATTAACCTAATAACCTACATGTAAGTAGACACATTCCCAGAAATTGAAATACCAAACAGCTATGAATTCCCCAAAATTTGGATTGTGCTTATTTAAATATTGAATTCATTTCACAAATCAATATTAATAGATTCAGTTAGGATAATCACACTTTATAAGAAATTTTCATTATAATATTAACATCGTATCAAATAAATCTTATAAAAATCATCCATATCATATTATCATTATTATTATTATTCAACAAGCAGTTTGAATCTCCAAGGTAATCGTTAACGAATACTACATTCAAGTCACAGAATACGCCCTGATAAATTATGAACAAGTAAATCAATTGCTGCATGCTTCAACTCAACGTGCAAGGACTTCTGTCTTGATCTCATTCTAGGTTATATACACACAGTTGACCTGTGTAGTCAATGTTGATTGCTGCAACGAATGCTTCATGTCCTGACTTTTTAACTTATCATATCATCTTCATTGACTACTTCGCCAATTAATAGCGTTCAAGAGGCGACATAATCACCAAGATATCTTGAGATTAGACAAAAATAAATGTATCATGACGTATAATTGAAATGCCAGCCATTGAAGATTCTTTATTCTGATTGTCTGTGTTTGTCTGTCCGTCTCTTCCATCTGTCCATTCACCTTCTCTTTCACAAGAGCGAAATGTTTACTACTGTAGATTCTTTATTCTGATTGTCTGTTTGTCGTTCTGTCTGTCTGTATGTCTGTCCGTCCTTCCATTCACCTTCTCTATCATAAGAGTGAAATGTTTACTAATGTTCATTCTTTATTCTGATTGTCTGTCTGTCTCTCTGTCTGTCCGTCAATTTGTCGGTCCATTCACCTTATCTATCAAAAGAGTGAAATGTTTACTACTGTAGATTCTATATTCTGATTGTCTGTCTGTCCGTTCATTCGTCTGTCCATTCACCTTCTTTCACAAGAGTGAAATGTTTACTACTGTAGATTCTTTATTCTGTCTGTCTGTCTGTCTGTC